CGCCGGGCGGGGGGTGCCGCCCCCGCCGTGGGGGGCTGGGCGATACGTACGTGTTCTCACGCTGAGGGGCTGCTTCGGCGAGCTGCTGAACGGGGCGCTGACTCTCCCTCTGCCGTCCACCAGCTCCGTAAACCTGGCAAGGAAAAGCACCACTGACCCTCCAGCAGCGGCCCAGGAGGGTCGTGCCCCCACCTGAACTCGGCGGCTCTGTCACGTTACCGCATTGGAGGGAAGCAGCCAGATCACGGCTGCACCCATGGGGGGGTGTTGGCCCCAAAAATGGTATAAAAGGGGCCATGTGGGGTGTTGAATAGTAGCTCACTGTCTGCTAATCCTGTGTACGCTGGTCATGTGATTGTATAATGTGTGTGTGTGACGCTATAAGCATGTACCTTGTGTGGATACTGAGTATTTCTCTGCATGGGGCAGAGCCCGGCCTATTGATATGCTAATTAGCAAGGCCCTGTGGGACAATGGCTCTCAATGGGCCAAGGACACACCTCGGGAATGGTGACTGACACCTGAGGGCTGCCAGCAGGGAACACAGGGATAGGCCGCTGGCCAGGTGACCTGCACAGCCAAGAAGAGACCAGGAAGGATGTATAAAGAGGCCATGTGGCTGACTCCATCTTGGTACTCAGCTCAGCACTTCATCCCAGAGGCAGCAGTGCAGGGATCGAAGAGCCGGAAAGACCTGTGGACCCATCCTGACCTAGGATGTGCAACAAGGACTTTTAAACCAACAGCTGTAACATCTCTGGTAGAGCCTGCATCGAGAACTGGGAGATTCGGTGCATGTAATGTACTATCCTTTAACAACCTTACTCTCAGGCTTTTCTTTCTTGTAATAATAAACCTTTAGAGGATAGAGTCTAAAGGATTGGCCCAGCGTGATTTGTGGGTAAGGTCCAGAGGGTAAATTGACCAGGGATCTGTGGCTGGTTTCTTGGAACCGGACAGAACTTGTTCGGGGTAGGTGGGATTGGGTGCTAGGACCCCCCACCTGTGTATGAGGCCCAGGCCATCTGGGGCACAGATATTGCTGGGGTGTCAGAGGGGTTTTGCTCGTGAGGCTTCAGGCAGGCAGCTGAAGTGCTCTGTGGGACTGGTGTGTGGCC